AGAGAAAATTGTCTCGGTACTGTCAGTCAGTTTTCTGATAGACACTGGTAGAGTGGTCGCAAATAGAATTATAATGAAACTTGCAATTTCAAAAAATTGCAGTGTCAACTTTGCACTGGCCGTGTGCCGCACACATGGCCAATGTCGGCGTGTTGCGCAGTGGCGGCCATCACATAGCCGTCGGAACAGCATTAATTCTATTAAAACTTCGGCACTCTCATTCGGAGTTATTAATGGCAGTTTCAGTTGGTTTTACGGTTTTTCCACGACACACTTTTCTATCTTTTAATGCTATACTCATCGATTGAGATGGTCTTATGCTATGCATACGCAGCTATGCCATTTTCTATTTACTTTTTATTAACCGAAGTTAATTGTCATCGTGATTTAGAATTTTATATTAGAATCGTTGATATCTCAAAAGGCGTTTACATTGAAATTTTGAACAAACGATGTAGAAGAGCCCGAAATAAGCTACTAACGAAAAAGATAGTATCAGTTGCAAGCGATACTCTTAAGTGCTCATTCATTTAGTGGCCTGATTTCGACCTTCAGACAGTCGAGATTTATTGTGGTTTAATCCACCTGTCTGCGAGAAGAGAAAGAGAGAGAGAGAGAGAGTTAAATCTATCGGGCTAGATAAGGTTGTGCACTTCATCGATCTTGTTTCCGTTTCCGAAGAAGAAAAGCGCGGAAACCCGGAAAGGGATTTATCATAAAAATAAACAACGGATATATAAAAAAAAGAGAGAGTAGAGCATGATCTGCGTGGATTTCTATTCCATTCATTGCGTGTATTTACATCCAGAATAAATCTCGCTCGAGAAGGAAGCTGTCGGGACTCTTGAAAAACAGGTCAACGAGACGACGACCGGGATCTTTCCGCAAGTAGCGGTACAAATGGAAAAACGGAATCGAAGGGGCGTTGAAGGGGGCAACCTATTTCAATCAATAATCCCTTTTCTCTACCAACACGAAGTGGGATTTTATACAACCGTCGTTGAGCGGCGAAAGTCAACTTTGTAATCTCTGAAAGAAGAGAGCTGCCGAGCCGGTTCCGGATCGCCTCGGTAAATCTTCTTTGCTCTAGCGCATTCGAACGGAAATCCGGTCGAACTCGAAAAGTGAGAAAGGTCCACTCGATAAAGCTTCTCGTCATGGACCATCGCAAACTCACAGAAAGAAGAGAGGAGGTGCGAGCAGACAGCTCACGCGCACGCCGCCTGTGTCGGTCGACAGATTGGGCAACCTGGGAGAGCGGTTTAATTCGAACACTTTTCCTCGCATTCGCGCGCTCTCGACTCGTTTACCAGATACAAGAAACTCTGTGTAGAAAACCAACTATCAACTCTTTCGTAAACGACCTTTTCCTCGATGCCGTCTCGTTATAGCTTTGACTTTCCGCAATCCATCTTTTGTGACGTCACCGTCGCGCGCAGTTAAAATTTACATCCAAGAATATACTTTGATAAATGAAAGGTGGCCACGGACGTTTTAATTTATAAATCCAAAATGCGTACAAAATAACGTCTTACATGCAGTAATTAAAAAAATAATGTTAAATGGAATTTTTTTCAATAAGAAATTATTTCACACGCGCTGAGTATAAAAGTGTTCTACTTTAAATATGAAATAAATTATTTACAACACAGTTTTCAAGTTGGACTGTTTTTAATATTATTGACGCGCATAAGCTTTTGCGCGTGTCGCTATATATTATTCCTGGAGTACAATGTTACGTTGTTCTTTCGAGTTGCATTCTTTTGGGAACAATAATTTTTTCTCAGTTCGTGCTTTTTAAAATATTCAAACGTTCCAACGTGATAATAAAGAAATCAATGTCGAGCGTTGTTACACTTTTATTAAAACATCCTTTTTGTTGTATCTGTCATATAACATAGACTTCAGCCCTAATCTATCAATTAACACTAACATTACTTACTATAAGAAATAATTCAAAACAAACATTATTCACTAAAAAATAATTCAAAATTTCATAGTTGACTGACCGATGGCTTCATGTTCCTTGAAAAAGATTATGATGAGCCTAATATATATATATCCAATATATATTTTTATTAATCAACTCTTTTATTCTCTCGGGGAGTTTTGTTGTCGGAAAAATAACTCAGAAGAAAGAAATCAAATTGTGATAATAAATTTTTTTCTTTAATTAATGGGCACAAATCCAATCGATAGTATTACAGAACTTTAGAATAATAATATATGTATGTTTGCATTTTTGAATGAAGAATAAAACTACTTATAATACTAAAATTTTTCAGAGTTATGAAGAGAGTGGTTGAAATTTGAGCTTTTATTCGCACCCTCGAAGCGTCGCAACGCGCGCACAATGTGCACCGTAATTACGTTACGTTAATTAATCCGTCGTTCTCTTTGCTCCCTCTCAACTCTTCTTCTGCAGCGCCTCGACTCTCGCGCGTTCTTCCTTTTCCTTCTCCCTCGCCCAGCAAGCTCTTTTAATGCCGCGGAAAGTCCCGATGAAACGGAAATGAGTTACCTTACTTCCGTTTGTGGAAGATTTCACGGTGAATTTGCGAATCCCCGCGGCGTTTCGCTTCCCCACAACGGTCCAGACATTCGGCGCGATTCAGCAGTCTTGTTCAATCTTCCCTCCGCCGCGTACAGAAAGAGAGAGAGGGAGACAAGAAATTGTGAGAAAGAAGAAGATGGCGACGCTGAGAAGAATCCACTATTTTCCCTATCGTCGAATCTTTCGACGATTCGTGTTACTTGCGCCCGATTCCACCCGTCGACGCGCAAAGTCGAGCTTATCCGACACGGTCTCTCTCTCTCTCTCTCTCTTTCTCTCTCTGTATTCGTCGAGTTATCCCAATAAAATTGCAAAGCAAACGTTTACTTCATTCAAGCGTCTCTCTCTTCTCTTTCCTACTTCCTCCTTTTTTTCCTTCTCACGGTAGGCGTCGTCGTGAGAACAAATTCGTTCTTTAAGCAAAACTTCAAAATCTGTCGACTCCGATGTTTCGTCAGTAAACTACCTTTTCGTTCATAAACAATCAACATAAAATAATCTGCTTGTACGTTCCAAGTTACAACGACTTGCTCGTAATATATATCTTTTATGTTAATTTGTTTCGCTCTCCGCAAACATTTGTGCGTTAAATCACTTAGAAGAGAATATAATCTCCGCTTTTATTTCCCGCGTCTGTTTAATACGCAGAGGTTTTTTTACGCACGCACATCTCGCGCGTGTAATACGAGCAACACCAAATGCCTCCAACGATAACGACGACAGCTCGCAGGGATTTCAATTTTGCAAGCACTCAGTATAATGTCGGACGAATTGCCGGCGTTGCTGAAAATAACAGGAATTATCCGCGACGTACACAAGCTGCCATCCCCTATGATGATAATGATAATGCCGGTTCCGGCGCGCACATACATATATACATATACATGCGAGCACACACGTATATCTACACTACAAAGTATAACCTAATTATCTGCCCGGTGCCAACGCTTTGCGCTGCGTCGCGTAATGCGCAATTGCATCCAGCATATGGTGCACGTCGGCTGCATCTTCATTACGGCCGCGCGTACGCATTTATAGCGAGAGCGCGACTCGTTTTCCGCGTATCGTCGATTGCGCTAAGTGTGTCATTTTAAATGCGACTATATATAACCATGGCAATTACGAAATAACAACGAATACGCGTTCGTATTTATTGCTTCAAAGATGTTTTAATCAAAATTACGAACAATATGTTTTTTTTACATTTAATCAGCTTTAATTGCGATATATAGTGTAGCAATTATATGTATATTTTTACATTCAATCTCGATAAGTTTATCACGTTTACTTTTACTAATGTCTCGTCGTTTTTGAGTAAAAACAACAAATTGTCTTTAATATGAAATAGAATGCATATTACACGCTTTTTTGTTTTTCCTTTCCTTTGTGATTAACATCTCTCGTTACATGTCATATTTGCGAATCACAATTCATCTCGTTGATTATCTTATGCGATTGACACGCGAGCGCAAAGGTGTTTTTGTAATGATGTGTTTCACGAAAGATTATAGAGTCCCGGATTCGGATTATAACGTGACTCTGTCTATATGTCACGTCATATTTAATTCATGCCTCTAAATCATAAACGCTGCTGGGCAATTTGCGGAAATGGGACAGCTGTCGTGTGCAGCAACATAATTATTTCGGCGTTGATAAAGTTTTCATTAATAGATTGTTGGTATTCACGGAAAAATATGATCAGTCTTGCCGATATAAAAAACGCGCATGTATATAGTTGATAATGTTTCAATATCGACTGTTATGTTTGTGATTTTAATGCATAAAATCATCCAGAATTAATATATTGCATTGGTACATCCGGAATTATGCCGAATTATGCAATTTAAACCGGAAAAAAATATTTTTAAACTTTACAAACACTATGTTACAAGAAAAAAAATCGATAAGATATTTAAATTTAGAATAACAAAATTGTGCCCTAAATTATAACACTCGATTCTTTTTGGCTTCTTTTCACGTACATGTGGCGCGCGCTATCGAATGTTTGACTACACAAAATGTATTGCTTCTTGTAGCCGATAATATAGATCACAATTTAGTTTTCAAAAACTATAAAATCAAATCTAGCTTTTTAAATATTTAGTATATAGTGTTTATCACGTATTAGTTATCTCTACTGCCTTATCGTTTAATGTTATAATTTATAATTAAAAGTTTTGTTTTACTTACCATTAACTTACTGAAAGATAAATTGAACGCAATGCTTCCTTACCGACCCTTGAAAGTATCAAACTTACGTGAGAATTCAAAATTTTACGCTAAAAACTAGTTCTGTAAAATTGTTTAATAAATGCAACGTCTACGTAAAAAAAAGAAAAAACAGGAAAGGAATTGATGAAGAAAACAACTAATCAATCTTTTATGATAAGTTTTATTGCTTTCCTTAATTTTTAACATACTTATAATATAGTTTATTTTTCTTAACATCTTTTTTTTATATATCGTTCGATACATAATTATTTACATTGTTATATCGTATGCGGAATAGCGTAATTTACGCTGATCAGGTATTGTACAATGATAAATTCACTTACAGACTGCTTCAAAAGAGAATCTGGAATATCAATTGTAACGGGATATAGTATATATGAAATGTAATATTACATAAGACTGATGTGGGCATAAAAAAAAATATTTGCGTTTGTTACCTGTAGGTGGAAGCATCTACGATTAAAATTTGCCTCAATTTTTTTGTAGCAGTCTTTGTTACATGATAAAATACACAAAAAGATCACGTTTATCTCGACGTGTTACATCGTTTATACTTACGTGTAATATTGCTAATACTTACACAAATATATACATAGAGGCTAGAATGCCTTTCACGTTGTAAAAATAGGTATACATCTTGTAAAGCTGTGTTGTTTTATCTTTATAAGTTCTATACAATCTAAATTACAGAGTTTTCTTTCGCGCGGCGAAATGTATCACATAAAACAAACATAAGTAGCTTAATAGAATGTTTGGAGATTTCTCTTCGATTCGTATAAACATCGGCAGATGCCTCTCAATATAAACTCTTTTAATCGATATGAATTAGACGAAATACCGATTAATGCGAATGTCGGAACAAATAACTAACTTTACACTTGGAATCCTCTACTTTATACATTGCATTTCACGTACTGTAATTATTATTTTTAGCTGTACAGAAGTCAGACGAATTAGTCGCGCATGTCAAGCTCGACTTGATGCAATAAATCCGGTTCTGAAAAAACAAAACAGATAATCAAACAATTTATCAAGAGTGCAATTTACGAACAATTATAACTTTATCGATCGATGACTTGTTACCATTGCGATTTTCCTCGACGTAAAGGCTCGCTCTTTGAGAGCGTCTGTTCTCGTTAGAATATCTCACTCTCGGCTCGACTCTCTGAGCCGGGATATAGGTGGGTGTGGTGAAATCGTCTGGGCCGTCCAAGATGGGGGTGTTCGATCTTTTCCGGCAGGCTGCCACACCGATAATCACTCCGATGCCGACGAGCACCAACGCTACCGCGCCTTCAAAATTAAAACTTGTATTTGAGCGGAAAATAAAAATAATAATTAATTAAAGCCTAAAGAAGAAAGTAAACTGACAGTGTCGATTTTACCTATACCTGTCAGTGCGATGGCAATAATCATGTTCTCCGAGCTGGCTTGAGGCAACGCTTTCTTCAAGTCTTCTAAGAAGATCCCATTTTTTTCAAGTTTCTTACGGAAGCCTACAGAATTCGCAATTCTGACGTGTTCTAAAAGGGCGGGTTCGCTCCAGCCACGTCCGTTGACTGCGTAAACATACACCGTGTAGTCGTATCCCGGCTCGAGATCGTGAAGTTGGAAATTTGGAGTCGGGCTCATGTCCTGATATATGGGTGACGATTCTCCGACCAGTCCCTGATCGTTCTGAGGCGTCTGAAGGGTGTCAATCCCGGAATTTCTGAGGAATCCTCGAACCTCCAGCACGAAGTGCTGCGGCGATCCGCCGTCTGATCCGGGGATGCAATTAACTTCCAGCGAGCTGCTCTCGTTGTACAACGAGCAGTCCAAAGGCGATTGGGGTGGTTCTAGACATTGAAACAACCGACCAGATTTTTTATTTTAAAAATGTTTTCTTTGATAATACACACTTTGCTTTTTATTATAAAACTAATTTTTAGGAGTGACAGCGCGATAATCAACTTACTGGCAGGTATGATGTTGAATATACAAGGCGATCTTTGTCGTCCGATGCTGTTGCTCGCCCAGCAAGCCAGCGTGCCGTAATCGAAATCGGCGCTAGGTGAATACTCCAGCACGCTCACGAGTCCCTTACTCTCGATCCTCGAGTTCGGTATCGGCAGAACGTCGCCGATGCTTCCGTTGTAAGTCCATGAGAATCGCACATAGTCGTCGGGCAGCGCTTCCACCTCGCACTCGAGCAATAACTTCTCGTGTCGAGCGACAGTGATCTCTCGTTTATCTTTCCCTTCTTTACATCTCGGTGCATCTGTAATAGAAAAGAAAGATCTGCGATTATCTCTTTTAACTAAAAATATTAGTTAATTATATATAGATTATTTTAATATTTTTATCAATAATCTGGTTTTATATAAATAAAACTTTACATAAATGTGATTAAATTTAAAAAAGCTGATGTAGATTATATAATATTTCAATATATATTCTTATTTTGGAACAACGCGTAACGACGAAAATGAATCTTAGACGGCGCGCTTAATCAAAACAAAAACAACTACTCACATTTCATGTGAATAAAAAGCGGAGCACTGTGAGTTTCTCCCACGGCGTTCGTGGCCATGCAGGAGTACTCGCCGGTATGTTTTAGCGTGAGCATTCGAAACGTCAACGAATTAGAAGCCAACAGAATTCCGGCGCTCACATTGTGTTCCAATCGTTGGTTCTGCGGACGAGAAAACCGAGACGAGGAGATTTGACTAGCGATATATCATTTTTACGAGCTGGAAGATAACGAGACACTTTTTCGTTTCTTTTCCACTTACATTATGATACCAAATCACTCGCGACGACGGTGGATGGCTCTGAACGTCGCAGATTAACTTGAGATCGTCGCCTTCTCTCAAAGTGTCCAAGACGTAGCCAGTAGCCAAACGAGCGACAACCACCGGAGCATCTGTTTATAATTTGGAAAGGATCATGTCATCAATTATAATATTTTATTTTGTCAAGTCTGTCGCCAATTAATTTTATTCGCAGAGATATATTGAATGTTTTTCAACTAATTTGGAATTTGTTTTTCAATTAAATCTGGAAATTTTTAGAAACAAAATCATAAATATGAAAATTTTTTTCAAAAAACAATTATTTGCATATTAATTTTACAAACTTGGTTAAAGCGCGAACTCACAAGAGACGCTAAGTACTTTGATCTCCTCGAGCACCCCTCCGGGAAATCTCGGATTTTCCGCTCGACAGATCAATTCTTTGCCGTCGTCGTCCTTGTTGAAGGCAAGAGCCAAGTTGCTTACTGTCGAATTGGCCCTTTGCGTGGTAGACACGACATTAGGATCTTCTATCTTGTGCTCGCCCAACTTCCAGACAATTTTTGCCGCTGGAGAACTACCCCAAGTTTCGCATTTAGCGGCGATCGGACGACCGGCGAAAATCTGATCCTTGCTGAGAGTAATCTTCACAATGGCCGGTTTAACTAGAGATCAATTTGAAGAATATTAAAATCAACTTAATGACATTGACGGTAATTAAAAAATATCTTTTCTTTTGTACTTGGCGGTATATTTCTGATTATGCGACTCTATTTCAAGAGATACCGCTTTACATTTCTAATATAAAAAAGTGTACGAAGGCAAGAAGCGTGAAAGGCTAACGAGGATAGATGCTCCACTGTTAAAAATTTATTGCGGATGTGGAACGATGATCTTCTCGCTGCATGTAAAAAAAACTATTTGGTGACGCTGTGCCACAAAACTAGCGGTACAAGAAAGAACCAGATGGCTACGCCGCCCCAAACTGCGTATTTTTACTTTTGAACGACAATTCCGCGAAATGCGACCGTCAAAAGAGTTGAGGAGATCCGCGCGAAAATGTTGGCATTCATCTTATTTCCGCCGCGGGTCAGTGTTGCTCGCAACTATATTTAAATTTCTTTCTTCGCCATGCAACACCGTCTTAAATGACAGAGAGAGAACCGGGATTGATACGATAAAAGACAAATCAAAATTTTATATTTATTTTAGATTTTTCATTAATTTCCATTTTTTAATTTCACAATTATCGAGATCACCGATGTGTGACCTGTTGTTTATTTAAAAAAAAGCACTAAAAGATAGTAAAAACTTACTTTATTTTTTTCGGAATTCGAAATAAAACCTGTTGTTGTTCAGATTTAATTGCAACAAGTGTTTCCTTTATGTTTCTCGTACATACATAGATGCAGAGTGTGGCAGTTTTCTTGTTTAGTTCAACCCAAAAATAAATGCAGAAAGAGAGAGAGAGAGAGAACGGAAACGCGACGTGTCGAATAAGACGTGCCAACAATGCCCTTTAACACGCTTGCATTTTTTAGCACGTGCTTAGAATCGCGAAAACGACCTCGAAGATAGCGACTCTGTTTTCTTCGATTTTATTTTAAACAGATGCCACGTTATTAACGCGGCATTTATAATTTATTTTCTCGAAATTCCGCTCTTTTATATTCGTCGCTTGATAGTTGAAAGATCCAAGAAAGCGTCGGAAAAAGCGTTTCATACGACTAAAGTTCTCTAATCGTACTTGCAATTTGAATCTATTTTGAGACTCGAAGTAGATAAAATAAATCGTTATATTTGCTGTTTAGGTTTTTGAAAACTTTAAAAGAGCTACGTTTCTAATTACTTAAATTCAAATGTGGTTGCAACACTCACGATATATATCGAGAGGCACTTCACGAACAATAGGTTTTCCCATAGGTCCAGACTGAGCTCGGCATTCGAGCTTCGCTCCCCACAACGCTTTGGTGACCTGATGGATGTACAAGTAGTTCAGGGTGAATCTATTGGAAACCGTAGGCGAAGTATCAACCACGCCATCGAGTAAGTCTCCATCTTTCCACCACGTCACCGAAGGTCTCGGTCTACCTGTGAGAATTAGTTTTGAACGCAATTTTTTTGTCTTAGATCATCCTTCAGCATTTTTTTCAATTGCACATGTAAACAATAAAATAGAATATTGACAAACTGAGGGACAAAAAATTGTTGAAAGTGCAATAAAATGCAAAGTTATTACCTCCAGCCACCTGGCAAGTTAGAGCGACCTCGTAACCCTCTAAAAAGGGACCGCCCACTCCTGTCACTTCCCGCCCTTGCGCATCGTATATCACAGGTTTGCTTGGTTGCTCTGAAAAGAATCGAACTATGTAACGATGTTTCGCGTCGCTCTCTTATACACTTTGACACGCAATAGTTACCAACTAGAGTCAAGTTCACGCGAAAGTTTCGCGTTGGCGAGTTTACAAAGTCCACCCTACATCTAAAGATCCCTTGATCGTTCAGCGTTACTTTTGTGACTTTCAGCTTCGCCCGATGACCGTCGCCGACCTGAAAGTATGTTCGTCTTCCGAGGTCGTCGCTGACGGCCCAGTGAATGGCGCCGGCAATGCTACCGTTTCTCGCATCTAGGCTACAAAGGAAGTTACGTCGATTTCAATTGCACTAATATTTTTTAATAATATAATTAATAAGACAAAAAACTCTTATTGTTTTGATGACTTTAAACTTCATATTTTTCAAAAAAGACATGTTTTACGTTGACACACACTGTTGATTTTAAAGCCCCAGGCGCCATCAGTTCAGCCGAGAAAATTCCATCGCAATATTTCACCATTTCCGGTGGCGAAAGTCGGTAAACACCGCCAATTGGCGGCATACGGTGACTAAACCCGCGTACACTCGCGTCTATTCGCAGCCGAAAAAAAAGGATCACTGGCAGAGTCGCCGGTCGCGAATTTAGACTCTCTTAAGCTTTCGGAGTGCTGACCGCGTTACGCAACTTGGAGAGAAACAGGAAATCGCGGTCCGGGACGCGGCGGAAAAAACGGGATCGTGTCAAAACTGTGTTTATGCGCATTCGCCACTAGACGAGGACGACAGACTGTTGCCAACTAGGTTGTCAAAGTCGACTTCACAAGAAATGAAAAATTCCGTCCCGCGTGATTTGGGTTATACATGTTGTGAAGTTGAACAGAGATGTTTCTTTTTTTATATTTGTTAAAAATATATAATAGAGATGTTTCTTCAAACGCGCGCGAAATGTCACCCGCTACGAGCAATTCGTGGGCGCATAGCGGAAAAAATATAACCGGAAAATGAACGTTTACCAAAAACTTTTGATGCGTTCGATGGATTGATCGGGCGGGCGCGTACTGACTGTAAAGTCGTCAAAAACTGATTTAAAACACGTTCCGTCGTCGTTTATCATACAATTGATTTAAATTGCAAAATAAAAGTTTTCCCCCGTTCGATACGCAAACATTTTGCCGGAGCAAATTCGAAGGCAGCACGGAATTTCTCCTGGCTCGGTGTTTTTGTTTTTCATTTTTTGTTTTTCATTCCGCAAAATATTTCAGTGACTGTCGAAAACCCCTAAATATGTACATCGCGAACTCATGGGAAGTACATAGGTAGTACGTGAGGAATGCTTCACCAAAGCAAAAGAAGCGAATAATCTCTGGTTTTTCCATCTTCGAGACTCGTCCGCGCTCCTCTTTGACTCTTCGCCAATCCTCTTCGTTCGCTGCATTCTTAGCATAAAGATTTTTTGACATTATGCGGAACTGCACGCCGCGTTGTGTGAGTCTCATAATTATCAGGTTTTTGATACAACCACTACGACTTGTGTTTTATTTGCTTCGCGCTTTTATTGTCATTTTGTCATCTCCTGAATTTTTACTAGCATCACACAGCTTTTTTTACGAACACATGAAAACATTTTAACAAAAAACAAAAAGATGCTGATAATATGGAGTTTATTTATTCACATATCAAATCGTCGTAATAAAAATTCTCTCAAACACATTCATGCAAGTTATTTATTTGTTTTTTTTTTTGTCGACGATAATGTTGAAGAAATATCGGGTTTTACGATCGCGGTGGATTATTCTTATAAATAAGCAATTCCGAGCATTCGTTTGCACTGCCCGTGTATCAGCCAAAAAGGATCTTCGAATCGGTTGTGCTATTCCTGATACTCGGTCACGATGTTATGAAATTCTATCATCCCACGCTTCCAATCGTGGATATTCAAATTATTTATACAATCCCGATCTAACTTGAATTTCTTCGCGTGATCGCGTCGTGATGCATCTGTTTCTATAATTGTCTAACGAATAACACGCGACAGAATAAATTAATAGTCACTAAAACCACGTATTCCAAGAATTATTATTTATTTATATTATACATGTATAATATAATATAATATAAATAAGTAATAATTCTGTCATTTCATGTATATTATACATGTATATATATTATTTATAGAAAATATACACAAGGACTCACTCTTTATTGCAAAATAATTATTAAAATAATATTATGTATCGAATAGTGCTCGAATGTGTATATTATCGCGGTAAATTACATCGATCATCGTTAATGAGCTTGTGATTGTACGTTGCACGAGCGGAGGTGTTCAGAAGCGAGAGAGTTCATGCCAAGATCGGCCTCTTAGGTCGGTCGGATATTTCGAGATGCGACTTCAGAACAATGGCATCTCATCTTCCCAATAAAGCGGGACCTAACCAACATCCGGCAGGCCGACTTTTTGACGAGAAGTCACTGTGCTATGAATCGTTAGATTCTCGGAAAACAGGAAGAGGAAATAACTTTTTTTAAGCTCGCGCTTAGTTGAGAGAAAAGAATTTGCTTCAGCTGCGTTCGTAAAACGACTGCATCCTGATACGCATATATATGAATTCGCCGAGAAGGCGTGGAGAGATTCTAACAATAAACTCAAAGTGTTTAGTAGTTTCTCTCTTGTGATATTTAATATGTAGTGAGGAATGAAAGAGCGAATATTGAGAAACAATCTGTCTTTGTGCGGCGCCGGCGCTTCGTAAAAAATAGTTTATATATTTTTTTTTAAACTTGCCTGTATAGCGGTATTTCGGCATTGTCTTTGAACCAGAGCACCATGCTCACCATATCTTGAGGCGTCGGTGGCGTGATATCGCATGGCAGATTCACGTCATCTCCTTCGGACGCCCAGATCAATTTTACTGGTGCTGAAACATAAACAGTTGCACATCCTTAAAAAAATCTGCATTTTATAACTATATTCCGGAAATCTTATACGATATTTATAATTTTATAATGCGCAGTTTATAATCGACATTTTCGGGAACAATTTTGTACGTAATTTTTAAATCCCTTTCTCTTCTTTTTGTGTTTGAATTTCAAATCCCGAAATTTCAAATCAGCCCGGACGACATATTAAACGTGATTCCTACTTGTCGTTTTCGGACCTGTCTCACAACTTGACGAAATTATAATAAATTTGTTTGTCTATTTCTCGCGCGCGCAAGACTGCCAGCTTGTTGCGGGATCGCAAACCGTGACAAGTATCGGTTCGATGCACCATTGTCCATGATTTTATACGTGCTCCTCAACACGTGCAATTTAAACTTAGCTTTCCCGCATCGCTTATGAAGTACTAGCGGAGAAAATAGAAACGATATAACGCAAGTCGGTTGAACGCGGCCGACGTGCATGTGTCGTCGCGCACGTGCGCGAGATGTGTTGCTGTTAATTCACATCGTGGTATGCCATTGATAACTTGTTCGTTGCGAATGCGTCGTCGTGGTGTTTTAGAGAATTTTCAACGAGTCTTCCAAGATGCAAGTGCAGAAGTCAATGTGAAGTAATAAAAGAGTATAATGTACACAAATTTAAACGAGATAGAAAAATAGGGTAAGAAAAATAACCGCGTCCCTCGCGCGCGGTTATGTAAATATAATGGTCGACCGAAAAGGACAACTCTCCGCTATTTTTGTATCGCTTTCGTTAGGAAATCGTGTTTCCGGCGATTCACGTCTATTTCCGTACGTACGAGATCACTGTCTCGTCTTTTTTCGCGTTGCCCTTTCTTTTATCTGATTTACGTTGCTCGTGAATCGAATTTGCGGTCATATTGATCGCGCGCGCATTAAATTTACACGAAATAAATACATGAAGATTATATAGGCCTCAGAAAAATTCTATAAATTAAATATTATCCTACAAAGAAACTTTTATTTTTAAATTTAAAAAAAAATACATAGAATATGATTGATAATAATAAGAGTAGTAATTATAGACCAACTTGAAAGTTTGATTTATCGATTGTCGGGATATAAAAAATGGTACAAACCGGAGAAACCAATCAAAAAAATCCCTGTTTGAAAACTAGATATATGATAGATAATATATTTTATTTTGATATCTAGTAATTATTTTAGACGGCCGCCCCCCCTCTCTCTCTCTCTCTCTCTCTCTTTCTCTTTCTACCTAAATTATTCAGATCTATTTCGAAATAACGGCGTAGCACACACGCAAGCTGACGATTACGTCGATTCTCGGTCGACCACCTTCTGTTCCTGCCGACCTCCGCGCGAGCTGTCCTTCCCAAGGGTCGTCCGCGGTATGGAAAGGAAGGGTACGCGGGAGACAGCTTTGACCACTTTGTATGGTAATTTCACCAGTGCTCCGACCCATACACCACCATGGTTTCCTCGTCAGTTAAACTTCCTTCGTTTTACAAGGGCAACCCTTTCTCTCGAATTTCCGCCTCGTTGATTTGTCAATGTTCAACCCTTGACCATCTCAGGATTTAAATATTGACGACAAACCTCTATTCTCTTTTGTTTATACAGTTACAAATAATCTGTCTCAGTTTCTGTACCGAAATTTACAAGTAATTAATTATTTCGATAATTGCATACTAATGAATAACAGATTCGAACTATCGACCATTAATATGATGCGATATATAATTGATGCATCTATGTGTATTAGCCGTATGTCTCTTCCTTCTATATAATTTTCATGTAGTTAAATGCAGAATATTTGTGCGTGATGTATCGGACAAAACATATGTCACGCGCAACAACGTCTGTGTATGCATACGCACGATCAGTAAGCGGTTGAACAAATCAAGTCAAAACGCGCTGCAATTAATTACAGCGCGGACTTTGTTTGATGAAACAACGATTGCTTGAGCCGCAGAGACTATAAATATTCAATAATAATAACTTATATATCACACGTAAAATATTTGCGATACTCGATCTGTGTTGATTATGCTAAAATTCCGCTTTCAATTAGACATATTTGACAATAATGCGTGATTATCGCAAAACAACGTTCTCCAGGATAAATGGAAATGGAGTCTTGTTTCCATTTAATGAGGATTTCTATTATCTTATTTTGTTTTGTCATGCTTGATGTTTGTGTGTGTTACAAAATGTACATGAACTAATTAAAAGAATATAGATTGGAAACCTAATTTTTATATTGAAATACAACATGAAGAACATTAAAATGTTTGTTAGAGATATCGATGTGTTTATATATATATATATATATATATATATATATATGTATAACGATATTTTTCTGCGAATAAAATACAAATTGAACCGTACATCAGAAAATTAGCGCGGGATACATCAAGGAGAAAAAGGATCATCGAAATGTGCGATGTAACAACGACGCTAGGGTGATCTTCCAAACGCGAAAAGCGTATCGCGGTGGTTTATGTGTTTTCATTTCGCAGGAAGTGTTGCGCAACGGGTCGTTTCGTATGACTTTTACTGTTGGACAAACATGTAAAGACTCTCACGATATCTCACACGTGAACGTAAGATGATAAATTATAAGTTGTTATTGTTGTATGTTCTTCTCATGTAGCGCGCGAGAATCAGTCGGTATTACAAAGCTATCGGAGCTCTACAAGAGCTCAAGAGACTTTGGGAATACGAAATATTCATGTTGCGTATCTGTATATATTTATCTAGAAGTTCTCCCGGTAAATATATATTTGTTCCTTCTGAGAACATCGAGTTTGTTGGCAAGATTATTCTAGAGTTGTATGCCATGTGAAGTCTGTAACTGTTACGTGCCGCGATCGTCGCTCAAGTCCTATTTCTACGACCTTATCTACTTCCTTCGTTGGCACATACTATCGGTCGAAATAATAAACTAATAAATACAGGCCGATAAACTTCCTCTCCCAACAAACAATTTCCCTAAATTCCTTCGTTATTCATCCGCATAAACTTTCGAGTCGCCGAAAGACAAATATTACGCCCTAGGAACTAAAGTCTAGCTCATACGTTTTTAATTTTAAGACGAGTCAGTTCTCATTCGCAACTCAGACGAGCAACACCACCTCTCAACTTATAATAAAGCACATCACAGAAAATATCTCACATTTATTTATTCATTACGTGGCTATCCGGCGCGTAACATAACGCGTCGTACAGTCCAAAGAGATCATTTCTATGTCCTGCTGAAAATGAAGTCGAGTGTTAAATTCTTTCGTTGCGAATCATCTCGCGCACATTGCGTCTGTGAGAAATTGCCGACAAAAATACTCACCCATCAATAGAGCTTTCTATTTTCGATCGCCTTTTTTCACGTACAATAAAATTGCCGCGTAATCGTTACTTTATTGTGAATATATCGCACGCGTTAATATCGCTGCTTTTTCTTTGAGAAATGCAATCGCGATTAGGTCCTTGCATTATGTAATTATTCATTATCTCCGCAATGTGGTTTGCCTTTCTTTTCATTTATTAAGGATATATTCATTTATTTTACAAGGATATTTCCATTGTTTGGTTTACGCTCATTATTTTAATTTAATTAAATTTTGCGCTCACACACATTTTTAAGAAATTCTTTGAAAGTTAATTATATTTAAAAATAATAAAGTATAATTTAATATCATTATATTTTTCTATTTATATATATATATATAAATAAACAAATATAATACATATAATGCGGCACAAATTTGTGCCGCATTAGATGAGTATATAGTTATTAATTATTAGCAAAAAGTTGCACCAATCAAGAATGTTATTGACTGTTTGCAAGCAAAAAGTTTGAGCGAATGTACTTTCGCTTGTTATATTTTATAAGTGACATGTTCCTGATTGCGCATAAAATTATGTTTTACGGTTGTCGCGATTTTTCCAAAACTCGGCAATTTCTCCAACTCCGAAATTAATTATGTAATTATTCTGACGTGTCGGCAGAAAACGCCGGCAGATCTCAGCACATTAAACTGGCGACGTTTATTTTAGTAGCTGTTTCAATTTTTGCGCCGTCCATCGTCGCGGCATAGCCGGTGTCACATCTCTTGCCAGAGATTTTCTTCTCACAATGCTATTAATTAAATTTTCTCGCGTACATATCTTTCTCGTGATAAACTCTTTTGAACACTCTTTCTCATCATACAAATCGTTGTAGTGTGATGCAATTGTAAACAGAAAACATATATAAGCAGGAATCGATGTATCATACACACAACGCTTGCTAGAGATGCGCTAGGAATTGATCTCACAAACACACAGCAACTTGATTGAATGCTGAAACGTCAGAAGATATGTAAACCGCATGCGAGTTTATTTTAAATGCTTTCTATTGGAGTGTTGATAAAAATTGACTAAAAAACTAAATTAAAAACAATTGTCAAATCATTTTACAAATTATAAATGTATGATTTGTTGAATTTAATATTATATAATTCGAGTTTTCTTAATTACATTACACAATTATTACTTATATATCTTGTTGAGATGTTTTAAAATATTTTATGAAAATTCTGTTTTAAAAGCGTTTTTAATATCAAAACCGTTACAGAAAATTGTTTGCTCACGCATAATGTCGGCACAAAGTTAATGGATCAGCACGTAAACACATCCATGTTTAAGCGCGGAGAGCACGATGAACTTAGGCGGCGAGTACACGCGTTAATAGCTCCGTTGACGGATTCGACTCGCTAATTAGACGTCAATCTCCTGACAGTTTCGTAAAATGGGGACACAGGTGGCTGAATATGTCTTTATTTTGTTTTGGGAGGGAAGGAAGGCAATAAAGTTGAACATTGAGAATAGAAACATTACGCATGCTAATTTTCTGTCATCTAAATTATTTATGAAACTCACATGATGCGCGTGTTCTGCATCTTTTGGTACTAAAATATTAGTGACAGATAATACGTCACTAAAAAACAAACCCAGCCTAAATAAGTTTAATATCAATAATGTTGGAAATATAAGACTCAAGAAACAAATCTTAATAAACTTCGTTAAGCTATACTTTTGCATGATTGTTTACTACGAAATTGCTAGGAATATGGATTCGCACCTTTGTTCGGTAATTCCGACGACTGCTCCTCTGCAGCTGCGCCCATCAAACGAGTCCTCAGCACCATTAATAGACCCGTCAGATATACGTGTTTCAATACGCAGCGCATCTCGATGTCGTCTTGAATCGAGGATCAAAGTTTAAGGGCCCGATTTTCTTTCCACCGAGAACAGCATTCGATCGTGCTCGATCAAATCGAGCACGTTTTCTGAACAAAGGCGAAAAAGATTTTGCGACCACTTCAACGATAGTTCTCACGTGGCGGTAGATCCACAGACAGCCGCGTCACTTCTTTGATCGATCGCGACCATTCGAATAACTCCGAAGATCGAATCATTCTTAATGTTTTCACCATTGATCTTAATACAATTGTGTCTATATAACACTTACTTTTATCTCTGGTTTTTACATTTATTATTTTAGTAGTATAATTAATATTTTCATATGTTAATTAATGAAAAAATTCATTTTATTTATTAGAATCACGCAAGATTCTCATAATTTTTATATAATTTGAAATACGTGTTTCTCTTTCGATATTTTTAAAATTTACTATCTTCTTAGAAGTTTATTTGCGTTCAACTAGAGATTAATTATTTATTATTCTTGTATGTAAAAATAAATCCTTATTCTTCTTATTTAGCCGGTGCTTGCTACAAACAGACGTCAACAACACAATTCACGAGATCCTACGTCCTTTCACGCTTACTTCTTGCTTATAGTTAGGCCAGACACGTCGTCTCGAAATCTTTTGATTGACAAACCAACCGGCGTTTTTCCCGCCTCCCTTTGTGCCCTTTCTCTTCTTTCCACACGCTTATTTCTTACGGTCGAGATAGTTTTGTCTTGACTTTCGACGCGTTCTCTGCTTTGATTTTCTTCGACACCGCTCATTTCTTTCTCCTCCACCGCCTCCTTCGCCACTCTCTCAACGAATTTCAACTTTGATCCTGCATCCGCGCGCGTTGCCTTTTAAATGCCTGTTACGCGCCGCTTTTTTAGTTCTCTCGCGCCTTTTAATGTTATTCTTAGTAGGTGGTCCTTCTTTTGCATGCCGCGCGTTTTAATTTCACCCGCGATCAGATGATACTATAATAATGATCGTGCACGTGAATTTCTCGCGTCTCTTTATTAGACAATATGATAGTAATTTTTATTTCAATTTTTTTCGCTATGCGCAACGTAAATAAGAATTGTTTTATTATTCAATCAAAAAAACACTTGCAAAATTCTTTGTGTAACAATTCTTGTGGTAACAATCGTGAAGTAATGTTTTCAGAACAAAGTATTTGTAGATGAAAATCCCAATTTTACATGAAACGAATTCACCCAATTCGTGCAAATTTTATTCAATTGTTTTAAACGGAAGAAACGCAGTTTTCGGGGAGCACAAATAAATCTCTCCTCCAGGATATCCACACACACATACACTCACTGCGATTCAATCGGCGACACACTGATGTTACTTTCGGATTTAGTTATCGACTTTCGGCCGCATCCGCACATGCGAGAGCGCGCGGATTTCACGTGAGCGCTCGCGATTCGAACGCGGAAATGATGAGAGACAAGACGGCGTCGTATTATCGCGCTGCGAGATCGGCGTCGCCGTTGTCGTCGTTGTCGTGGTTCCCGTGCGCGGTCGTTGTTGTCGTTGTCGTCGTCGTCGTCGTCGTTGTCGTCGTCGTCGTCGTTGTCGTCGTTGTGACTCTCGTGCCCGGTCGTCGTCGGCAGCGACTCTGCCACGAAACTAAAACCAAAACCGAAAGACACGCGTTTAGTTTCTCCCCCTACCTTTTTCATCCTTCTTGCTCGGCGCGCACACACGCACATATACATGCACACGCACGCACGCACGCACGCACGCACGCACGCACGCACGCACGCATCTTCTCTACGCGTATAGACAGCGAGCCGCACACGCGCACTTTTGGATGCGAGCATGCGGTTGTGTATATACACATGAGCGGATGTACATCTACATACGCTCTCCCTCTCCCTTTTATATCACTCATATGCGGGCGTGTTTGTGTGGATGCGGAGATACTATTAAATGAGAGTCTAAGTTATGCATGCAAATATTGCAATGAGTAATATCTTTTGTACGACAAGAACGTAAAGTACTTACTGTACAAGAGACCTACTGTATGAAGATTATAAAGAATTTTTTGCTGGAATAGAGTTTTAATAAAGTGTTTACAGAGAATTTATAATGTATCTTTATATAACTTTTTCGTTTACGCAACATAATAAGAATTTGTACGGATTTATATTTGGCATTATAGAGTAATACAATATTGTCATAGATATAATTTGCATATATTTTTACAGGATAGACGCAAATAATTCTCTTATCGGAAAATTGTTTTTTCAAAAAATTAATTACGATGAAGTATCGAGTCACATTCCGCGCAATATTTTAAAATATTCCTCAACTAACAATAAGAAGTATTTACATATATCAAACAATTCTTCTCTAGCTAAATATGTATATATAGAATTTTTTTGTTCTGAATCAATTGTTGAATCTCATGCAGTTTTCTAAGTTTCTGTGCTTCAAATTGCCGAAAACTAATGTCCATGTTTATCAGAATGATAGCGATACTAGACAGCTAGCGCGGCGCAAAATGCGTTTACAGAGAGAGAGAGAGAGAGAGAGAGAGAGAGAGAGAGAGAGAGAGAGAGAGAGAGAGAGACTTCGTATATATAATCTATGCAGCATCGTAAATTGAATCTCCGAAATTGTATGCCAGGTCTCAGTTCTTTGTACATACTGAAAATATACATAACACGCTTATATTCAATCCTTATACACAAAATACACACATAACATGCTTATATCCACTACGTATACGTTCGTGCGTCGAGTGCACGTAGCGCACGACTGCATCGCTGCGTGCGCGCCTAATTCTCTGTGTACGATCTTTTCGCTTTGGAAAAACACAGATCGGTTTGCCGTCCTGGAATAAGCGCTCAGGGGTTGCGTTTCTAGCATATCATCGTACAGACGATTACGCGATGCCGGCCAGAGAGGGCTCAACAACGATCTCGCGCCGGCCGAGGGTGGAGCGTCCCCTCCGCATGAGTTAGAGGGTCAGGGAATGTGTGCGTGAAAGAGAAAGGACGACGTGCGACGAATGCGTCGAATTCTATTTGCTTGTCCAGTGCTATTGTGTTTTCCCGAACAGTTTCCACGCGTGCAGCAGTTTTCTTTATATGTCACGCGTCCTATCATATTCGCTCGTATTCTAAATATATGTATTTTGCGCTCGCAAAAGCCCTGTAAAGATATTTCTAGATTTTTTGGCAGATTTTGCGAACGGGATGTTTACCTGATTGAGCGATGATTCTCAAAAACAAAATTCTCGAACAAACAAAGAGAAATGTTGACTTCTGATCGACGGTGCATTCCAGGGTCGCGCAGGATCTTTATAAATATATTTTCTATCTCTGTTGAAAATACCGTAGTTTGTGTTTTCACATTCTCGCGATCAAAGTTTTGATTTCGTTCACCGCGAAAGCAGCTCGTGTAAACAAAATTCCCGAATAGGAAGCGAATTGTTACACTGCGCATTTCTCCATAAATATTTATTCTTTGATTTTTTTACTGTATTTTACGTATCTACTTTTTCTATTTTATTCTTTTTTGTACATATCACAAAGTTATCTCACATTGTCTTTCAGGACAAATTATTTTATATTTATTTGTTCAAGATTAGGGCTTGTTAGAGACAGTGATAGTTTTTTTGTGATTTTCTTTTTCCGGATGTTTTTAGTTATGATGTTACACCCTGCGGAATTCATTGTTTCCTTTTTTTTTTTATCACGACGTAATAGCAGCGTAAAGACGTTTTCTAAGGGTGTCAACCAAAAACGAGGCGTAGCACACTCAAATTTTTACATCTCGTTCGATAGCACTGTAAGTAGCACAACGAAATAACTCTGGATTCTTGACTCATGATCTTGCAGCAAATCGAATTAGATGCAAAAATGTCTTGATTTTTTTAAATATTAATATCAACATAAAGGCGTTGGTTTCGGATATCGATGTGTCGTCGCGTGATGTTATTAATCAAAGCATTAATTATGATGGACAACGCAAAATCTCCTGACGACACGTCATCAATGTGATTCTGCATCTCTCGAGGATATTCTGTATCTTTCATATTCATCTGATATCCACTTTGTTTTTCAACAAGAAGCGAACACTTAGTTTTCGTATAATAATAATGTTTCGTTTTATTTTTCATGTATACATTTCATAAGTGCCTAAACTTAGTAAACGCACCTTGCACAACGTGTTATATTATCGCCGCTATTATTTTCCGTCGCTATTACCGTTGGCACTATTAGTCACCAGAGCTTAGACTTATTAAACGAATTTGCGAAGCAAACATGAGAGAGAAAGAGAGAGAGAGAGAGGAGAGCACTAAGAAACGCGAATTTTCGCGTTATTTTCCTGCTTGTTTCTAATCTAAACTTCCTATAAATAAAATGCGCTCGCGTTCCATCGCTTTCGTTCGAAATTTCGTCGCTTACCTTACATATATACAAAACAAAAGTAGCCGCGCGCGCTTCAATTTTACGGCGCGCGAAGCGTAATTTTGTAGTCTTGACGCTTCGGTGTGTAGCCTTTCTATTTCAGGACTCTCTCGTCGCCGTTTGCTCTCCCTCGCTGGATACCGCAACACACACCGGTAATCCTCCTTTCCCTTTTTCGTCCGACAAACGCATCTGCGTAAATACGTACTGGAACACTTTTCGCTGACCATGTTGTACAGAACTCAGCGTCCTGTAATTAATTGCCAAGTGTTTGCAAATCGCGCATTCGCTGATGCGTAATGATTATTACGAAAAATAGAATGTTAATAGTTATTTCATATATATCAGTGATAAAACATTTTACATTCCATTTTGAGAAAAACATTGAAAGTTTTTTAATTGTTCGAAATTATAATCACATATTTATGCGTGAATTTTAAGATGAATTTTTAATGAAAACACGTGTGTACATATATACATATATATATATGTATTTTAAACTGCTGTTCGACGCGATTCCCGTGAAATTAGATTAAACTACGTGTTTAAAATAACAAAAATAAATGTTACAGAAAGAAATATTTGTATGTGTGTGTGTGTGTGTGTGATAGTACGTCCTGATGAATAAAACGGTTGTTTTGCACTGCCAGATAACGAAAATGCCAGAATTTTTAGACTGGTGTCGTCGTGCGATCGTTTTAATACATTTTTTTCATTAAGCCGCAGTTTTTTTAGTCGAACGAATCTCTTCACTCCAATATATCATACGCGGATAAAGTGAAACTTTGAATTCTTTTTTTTTATCAATCCTCTTAATATTTCTCAAGTGATATTACGTCACTTAAAATATCTCTTATAGTTAGCGTATATTGTGATTCAGGCATGTGTAATCAATGCATACACAGATGCGTTCTCTCGCGATAGTTCAGTGATT